CTTTCCACCGAAAAACGTTTCGCTCATAAGCGGCAAAGGTAATATCGGTTTATTATTGATATGCATTTTACAAGCTTGAAAATGAGCGTTTAAACGAAATTTTTGGTTCCGTATTACCGGAGAACCGCTTTGTTTTGCAAATTACAACGCAATTTGTCGCCGGCAGTGAGAACCGCGGCGGCATGTCTTCGGTCACGTCTGAATGAATTTGCTCTCGTTTGCGAGATGGAAGTCGATTAAAAAATTATTTGAAGTGATTTGTTACCAACCGATCGCTAAGCTTTTCGTTGGATTAGTTTATTTAAGGTTAACAATCAGATACTATTAAACTACAAAGAAATACATAAGAGTTTGTTTGAATTTGATTGACCGTGCGCTTGTCAAAACAACAGACGATATATATTGTTATGCAAATACACGCCATTACGCGGGCTTATAAATAACTGAGTCATACGCGTGGCTACTCACTTATTCTCATCACTGTAAACACACTTGATCGTCACGTTAACTAGTTTATTAGCTGTGAGCCGTGATACATGATGGAGTTTGCCGTTGGTGCTTCTGTTGAAGCTGTCGATCAGCTCGGTATTTGGGCCAAAGCCAAAGTTATTTCAGCATCCGAAAATTCGGTTGTTGTGACTTTTCCTCCATGGAGATCGGAGTGGGACCGCGAGATAAGTGACCTTTCCGAAATCAGAAAGGAAACGATCGAAGAAACGCTGATCCCGCGCCGTCTTGCACAAAAAAAGGTAAGAAGTTATTCAATGTTAATTTTGAGTTTTTTCATTTCCTTTTCCTTTTTGACGCTTATAAGTATCTCACGCAAGTTACTTTTTGCCATCAGAACCCGAATCTCAAGAAATTGTTCCACGGGGACGTTGTTTACTTGAATGGCAAAGCAGCAAATGTTCTCCAGTCAGATCCTATCAGGAAATCGGTGAGTTTCAACTCTCTGTAGCAGCAGATTTATTGTTTACATAACTTTACATCGAGTGTCAGTGGTCATGATCATACTACTAATTCTCCTTACCAGTCTCTATACAACTCTTATACTGAAAAGTAGTTTGGAGTGTTCGTAACCGATTTAAGGCAAACATTTGAATCATTGATGTTTACAAGTGTCCCCATTTAGTGGTTGTATTGCTGCTTTCATCTTGTCATCTAATGATACTGCTAGAAAAGTTAACCCTCGTCACTTACTTCTTGGCTTGTGTCTGACATTTTGCAGACTGCAAACTAAGAGAATTTATCATGTTACCATTACCATTATTGAAAGCGTACCGTAAACAGGCTAAATGAAGTGTTATTCAGGCTAACCAGAGTGAATAGTAGGCTAACTGAAGTGCATAGTAAGTTTAACCAGAGTGAAAAGTCTGCAGTCTGCATTCTGAAAATGTCAGACACTGTTTTTTGGCTAAGAAAAAATTAAAATAACCACAATACACTAATTGGCTTCAGAAGATGTTTTTTCTTTTGAGTGCCTTACTTTGCATAAAGTTTCTCAGGGCGAAGTACATTTAATTCATTATCTTTTGGAATCCTTTAACTTCTCTCATCTCTTAAATTGATTGTAATTCAAGGAATTTTTCTAGGTCTACATGTTTACTGTGTGGCCATCCAATTTTTGTGCCTGTAGTCTGAAGCCTGAAATTAATACCAAGCTTTTTATTTAAGGTAACTTTGCAACTGGTTGACAGCAAAGAAAGACAGACTGTCAAAGTTTGGGAGGTGGAAGAAGCCATTGCTCAGGAACAAGTTGAGCAGACAAGGAAGAGGCAGAGAAGAACGGTGATTACAGATCAAGGGTTGACATCAAGTTCTGAAGTTGCAGTCACCGAGATTCCATATCAGGATCAGGTTACCATGGCAGTACCTAGTAGCAGCAGTTTACACTTTTATTTCTTTATTGGGTCAAATGGCACCATTTTGAGGATTGGATCCTTGTATTCTCTTGATTTTTGTAAGGGTTCAGTTTTTATTTGTACATCCATTTCAAGAAATAAGGATCTTTTTAAGTTTAAGTTTTTGCTGTGTTCCGTAGTGGACAAAAAAGTTGAAAGTATTGATAGGGGTGTATCTTGTACAGTGAACAATGTAGCGCATGTTTCGTGTCAATCTGATGTCATTATTGGGTCAAAGGGAAAGGGTTTGGTTGACAAAGTTATTTGCGAGGGCTGGGACAGGGTTTTGTTTTGTCAAGTTAAAAATGCTGCAAATTTTTCTTACCTGTTGGACCTCAGAAAGAGTTGCTTGGCCAATCAAATACGTCAAGGTGTCTACTCGGGTATTTCACGCACTGCCACTCGTCCTGCGCAGCCTATTCACCTTGGCATATTTGATCCAATGCATGACTCTAAGATCTTGGGTCTAACAGGTGAGAACCATTTCCAAGTTTCATATTCAGGGAGGGATCTTGCAAAGTTAGATTCATTTTTGGGGGCTAATTGGGATGTTAAAATCCTGGAACCAGGAAATCCCTGTTCCCACTTTAAGTATGTTTGCAGAGTAAAATTTTTTGTTCACAGGCCCTCAATGAGCTTACGTTTAAATTTTGTTTATTCAGAGTCTAATTACCCATTTACAGTTGCTTATCGGAGTACTTGTAGTTATTAGAGCTAAGCTTTGTTTAACAATATAAGATACAGTGGAATCCCCTTATTGAACACTTGAGTTTTTGGAGCTTCTGATAAATCAAAGCAAAAGCAGTTCCCTTTCACACAGTCAGACACCGCAACATTACCACCAATTTCTCAAATTTACACCCAATATATTCCCCTATGAGGCTAAAAATATCTGGATTCCACTGTAAGTTTGTAATGTATCTTCTGAATTCCACTGTAAGTTTTTTTGACTTAATCTAGACTGAGAAGACTAGAAGCTTTTGTCATTTCAAAATAATATTATATCATAAAGGGATTCAGTTTAGGTTTTCAGTTTCAATCAACCTGTGATGGTCTGTTCAGGACTGTAGAGTTTTGGAATGTTTTGATGTCAAAAGTAATTTATTTATTTATGGTTACTAAGATGCTTGTTCTGAAAGCATTCAGTTATTATAGCAGTCACTTCTGTATAACTGACAGAATAAATTAAAGGTGGTTTGTGTACAATGGACTGTGTACTTTCGAGTAATTCCAGTTTAGCTATATGCTTGCCTTAAAAAATCTGGCTTTTGAGACTTTTGTTGGAATTTCCAGTGACCTTCTGAGGGGTGGGTATGGGTATTTTCTCATTTCTTCATTTCTGTTTCGTTTACAATCCCTAGCTAATAGGCAGGGACAAAAGTCAGACCCGATCATTAACTCGGATCGCTGATTTGAATGAGAATAGCACTACCTGCTGTTCTTATTCAAATCAGCCATCTGAGTTGATCCATTCCGACTTTTGTCCCTGCCTATTAGCCAGGGATTGTAAATGAAACAGAAATGAAAAAAATCTTTTGAAAAAATACAGCAAGGCAATGAGTGTCTTACAACAGTTTTTGTTTTAAAACCAAGAAAAGAATTTTAATGCCAAAAAATCCTAAATTTACATTGCAAGAAATGCGCTGTAGTCTTATTTACCAGTGCCTGACTTACAAGATATTATATGATTGAGTGTGTGTCTAATAGGGGGATAAAGTGTGTTTTGGATACAGCTTGTTTGCAGTGA